GAATGATGCAGTTTGATGAAGACATTATGTCAAAGCACAAGATATAAGTTAGAACTTTTGTACCAAATAATTAGCCAATTAGCCAATACAAAGGAAATACTACAAAGGAAATTAAGTGATACTCCAGTGAAAATACAAATATTAGTAACCTAGACAGAAAAATCACACCAGCTGAATCTTCCTTTCTTTGAATGCTGAGGGAGGTGATACGGCTATAGAAGAAAAGTTTAAGGCAAGATTCATCTCTGTGACACAGAAACTAAACTAGCAAATAGTGTTATCAAGGCTACAGCATACTACCCAGAAGCTCTAGCTTAGGGCCACTGAAGAGAGTGGTTACATATAAAACCAGCCAGCCAATGTGGATGAAAAGACTTCATATGAGAAGAAAATGTCCTGGAGGACTTCCATAGCTACAGAGTAGAAGTCAGGCTTGGTTTCAGGACACAAGCTGACTCACCAGGGACTAACGCAGCTGGTGACTTTTTGCTATTTCTCTATTATGAACATCCTAAGACCCTTAAGGATACTAATTCTATTTTGTTTGTGCTCCATAAATGGAACAAGAACGTCTGGCTGACAGCACATCTGTTTTCAACATGGTTTACTGGATATTCTAAGCCCACTGTTGAGACTGCTCAGAAGAAAGGGGTAAAAGATTCCTCTCAAAATGCCATTGCTCAGTGACAAGACATCTGGTGGTCCAGGGGCTCTATTTGAGATGGACAATGAGGTTACAGTTGTTTTTGTCTACAGACATAACAGCTATCCTGCAGCCTATGGATCAAGGAGTATGTTTGACTTTTAAGTCTTGTTTAATAAATTCAATTTGTAATGCTACGCCTGCCACACGTACTGATTTCCTTTGGTGAATATGGGAAAAGTGGATTGAAAAACATTCTAGAAAAGACTCACCATTCTGGATTTATTGAAAAAAGCATTTGTGATTCATGGGAGGGGCTCACAAATCTCAACACTAGCAAGAGTTTGGGGTCAGTGTTTGAATTTGAGAGGTTCTAGTCTTTGTGGGCAATAACTGGAAACGTAGTGCAGACAACAAAAGAACTGAGTCTAAAGATGTGATTGAATTTTTACAATCTCAAGCAACAGATGAGTTGCTTCTTGTGGATAAACAAAGAAAATGGTTTCATAGTCAACTGGTAAAGATGTTTGGTCATTATTGAAATAGCGTCAAAGCACCTGCCTAGGGGTCACACCACATACAGTGGCCTGAGCCCTTCCACGTCACTCATTCGTCAAGAAACTGCCCCACAGATGAGCCCAGTCTAATTAAGGCAATTCTTCAACTGAGGTTCCTCTTCCAAGGTGACTCTAGTTCTTGTCAAGTTGGCAAAGATGGACCAGCATAGCTGTGCATGAGCCTGACACATTTGTAGATGACAATGTCAGATTGCAGTGTCAAAAGCTTAGACATCCCTGGTCATGTAGCCTTGATAAGAAGCTTGGAAGACAGAAGTGATGTTAAGCACAGAAGTGATGTTGGAATTCTGATTCTTTAAACTGCCTTTATTGTTTTAAAAAACCGTGGCTTTATCCCCCAATTTGAAAAATAATTATATTTAACTTCCTGCCAACTTTTTTTTTTTTTTTTGGTTTTTCGAGACAGGGTTTCTCTGTGGCTTTGGAGGCTGTCCTGGAACTCACTTTGTAGACCAGGCTGGCCTCGAACTCACAGAGATCCACCTGCCTCTGCCTCCCAAGTGCTTGGATTAAAGGCGTGCGCCACCAACGCCCGGCTTCCTGCCGACTTTTAAAGAGTGTCTTGTAAACAAGAGCCAGGAACAAGGTGGGGGTGCATATTATCTTCCCATACCTCCTGATGCTATCTGACAGCCCCTCCAAACTTAATCTCCAGGAAGCCTATCCACCCTACCCCCACTAGTAATGCCCCAATTTAAATTGTGATGGAAAAACAAAACTTATAAACACTGACATGACACTGTTGTGACTTTGCCTAGTAGAAGATTAAGTACATTCTATACATAGATCCAAAGATAATAGTTAAAGTTGTAGGCTAAGGAAGATTTTCACAAGGATCGTTATTATCAATATACTATGCCCTGTGTTTTGAACTTAGTACCAGCATAGGAATATCCCAGCTTTGATTGTCTAGACTAATTCAGTAACTCACTCACAGAAGCTCCTTTTGTGTGCCCACAATGTGCCCTACTATCCTGTCAGGTTTAGCTACTTTACTTCCCTAGCTGAAGTGAAACTTCAGTGGAAATGAGGCTTCTCTTCCCAGTAGATCCCGAACACCCAGAATGGCCTCTGACCCGTGGAATCTAAGAACAAACTCACCTAGCTCATGATGCCGATAGCTACTTCAGGCTTGTGTCACTGGTTGCCAAGGAAGCTGTACCCAACTTTCTTCTCTCTGAAATGGGAAAGATGCCATAATAAGACGTTCACCTACCATCTGTTGAGTGGAACAGAGCTTTCCTATCTCCTTGTCATTTCCCATTCACCTGCCCACACCAGGACTCCAGTACTGAGAAATGAGGGATCAAATTTGAGAAAACTGGGATTCTTACACTGGGTCTGAAATTACTTTATGTGTTAATGATATTAGAATTTTAGTTTCTGAGTCCATGAATCCAGTCTTTAAACATTTTCTTTCTAAGGCTTCAATGGAGCATTTGATTACTTAAAATGCGTCAGTGGCACTGCCGGAAATGTCACTCTTTGTGGTAGTGAAATATGTGAGACTAGTCTAGAATCTACACCACAGAGTATCCTTTTCTGTCTGTACAAAGCCCCTTAGCATAAGAAGCATGAAAGCCTTTAGTTGTTAACACTCTCCTTAAAACCCTTTCTCCCAAAGGCTCGGAAATTCTAGGAAATTCTACAGAGTCCATTGCCTCTCAATAGAACCTGCTTTGCATTTCCATGTGTTGTCTCTTTTCAAATCACCATATTCAAAGCAACACTGGAGGTCTTACCTGCTGGTTTATTCAGTTTGGATGTACTGATTCTTGCCACTAAATTCATATGTAATGACAGCTTGGCTGTAGTTGACTTGCTACATACATGGCCAACTGGAAACTACCCAGTGACAGAACAGCATAGGAATTTTTCCTTCTACTTGGCCATGCATGTAGTTTAAAATCATTTGGCATTAAAAAAAATCATTAGGTTGTTTCACATTTGAGGGAAACTTGGAGCCTGAGAGATTCAGGTTACTTCTCAGCCTCTGATTGGTAAAGAAACAGAGTACTGCATACAAATGTCCATGGGAACTCTTTGGGAGAGTCATATAGCAAAGGAGGATCACAGTGCTAATTAGCTCTCCTAAAATGATGCACTCATCAAAGCCAGACCATTTAATATTGTTGCAAATTTATAACTTGAAATATAATGCATACAGTGATGACATATCACATATCCCAAAATATTTAGCTTACATATATAGTCTAAATATTCAGTTGTTTGCTTAGGGAATCCAATATCTCTCCTTTTAATTACTTTGTGACAAATATATACACTGATGTATATGAACTCTGTTCCACAGTTAGACCTACAGCAGAAAGCAGCAGTGAAGTCACTATTCTCATTGAGCTTACATTATGTGGTATTAAAGGAATGGTCTCGTCTATAGGGTAGATAGAGGCAATGGGTGGGGAAGTGAAGCAAAAGGGAAGAGACCATGAGGGAGGAGAGGAGATGTGGCAATGGATGTTCTCCCTGGTGAGACCAGTCAGGAAGGTGGCATCTGAACTGAGACATAAATGCAGTGAGGGAAACAGCTATGTAAAGTCTGGGCAGGGTACTCCGGGGAAGAGAAACCACAGGGGCAAAGAGTCTCATATGCACGTAATGTGCTCAGACCTCATCCGGCCACACAGAAATGAACATGGGAAAGAAAGGGTGGTGTCTCCAAGGAGCCAGGGCCTCCTAGTGCATTATGAACAGGAGAAGTTATGTCAAGTGTGCTATCAGGGAAGAGGGGTAACTTGAATTGTCATCTCTAAATGAGTGACAAAGAAAATGAGAATGGAGTGTTAATAAATGCTGTCATGTCATGGAGGGAGCATGTGTCATATGCTAAGCCCTGTACCTGCATTACCTCATTTAACCTTGGCAATAATTGCTGTGACTGTTCTTGGAGGACATACGAGGCAATGATTAAGCATTTGGTCATGAGTAACTTGTCCATAGTCACACACAAAGGTAGTAAATGGCAGACCCAAGTTTTATACAGTGCTAATATTGCAAATCTCAATAGAGATCATTACAATTGACACTTTGTTAATTCATTTGAAGTCATCTTAGGTCTCCTATAGATTATGCTGTGGCCCACTTATTTTTTTCTGGGCACTTAAAAAATATGAGGGCTTATTTTAATATATAATAATATCATCTCCAAAGTGGAAAATTTTGTAAAACACCCAGAATGAAATCTCCTTATTAAATAATCCCAGAGCACAGACTCTTCATCTGTAGATTAAGAATTCTATCTCTGTGTCATTCATTTCCATAGTGATCTTGTGTATTTCTTTCCCAATGCATTTACAAAATGTTGATCTGAGTCAAATATCCACATAGGTTTTCCCAGACTGACAACGAACTTGTGACTAGGCAGGAGGCTGTGCAAGGATTCTTGAACTCCAGCAGAGTTGCTGCCGACACAACTGTATTATGTCTGAGAGTGAGAGAGAACACAAAGGGCGTATGGTAAAGATCATGGGGAGGTCAGCCGTAGCTCAAGCAACCACATCTAGCAGAACTTTTCCAATTTATGTATTTTTCCAGGTATAATTATTATCATTCCCTTTCACTCCCAAGGGTGTTCCAGACAAAACAGCTATTTGACTGTGGCTAGCTAAAGCCATGCTCAAGAAGGCAATGTCTTTGAATATGATCTCTAGGCATGTGACTCGAATTCCTATAATAATGAATGGGTGTGATCAAAGCTATATGATTACACAAGGGATATTATGTAAGAAAATAGTTTAATCGTAATTCTTTCTCTCCCACAGCCAAAAAGGAGCATAAAATGGAAGAAAGTCACTTGGAAAACGCACAGAAAAGGTAAGTAGCTCTGACTTGAACTCAGTTCTTTTTGACATCCTTTATTTTTATTATTATAAGAAATATACCCATTGCTGTGCAGCCATCTTCTCTACAACCCCATCTGAAACTCTGAAACTGTGAAGCACTAACTCCTCATTTCATCCTTTGCCCCACAAGGCCTGGATAGCGTTGCTCTACTTCTTTCCTCTCTGTAGAGCCCTGTGCCATCTGGCCATTTACGACTAACTTATCTCACTTGCCTTGTGTTTGAACAGCAGCCCCTTGGTCATGTCTGTTGAGACATCCATGAACAGTAAGCCAGAAATGACACCCCTCCCATCATATGTGTCATGATCCTGTTCCGTCCACTTGCCTCTCCTTCCTGCTCTGTTCCTGAACTACCTCATGGAAGTTAGGAAGAGAGTTGACTCTCTTTCAGTATCATAACTAGGTTGGACTACCTCCATAAATAGCTAGGAGAGTGACTTCAGTTTCTTTGCTTAGATAGTGGAGGGTTTTATAGACAAGGGACAGGTGGAAAGAGAGTTTCCGCTCTGTGTACAAAAATTCCCTCAAGTCAGAAGAGACCCTTGGGTTCCTTGTTTGAGCCCAGCCCCTTTTCTTGACTCCTACTTCTTTTCAGTAGACACCAGAGCCATCACCTCACCTGGTGGAACCCAGAACTACTCCAGTCCCCTGTGGAAGGGTCTCTGTTAGTTCACCACAGTTGTCCCTTCAAAAAAGGAGTATATTGAATCTTTCAGGAGCGAGGACTGAGATACATTTGACTGTTAAATATTCTAAACATTCCAGATAATTAAATGAGGGAATAGGGGTAGGAAGTAGCATCTGAGGAAAAAAATAAGCTTTACAAAATAGATGAGAATTTCCTAGTTGAGAATGAATAAACTAGGAATGAGTCCTTTCCCTTCACTCTAGCCACAATTCTGAAAACCCAAAGACAGGTGCCAACATTTAGTCCTGATTCCTTCTATAATCTGCCAACAAAATTAAGATGCCGATGAAAGCAAAATGAAGGCCATTCTTGTAGTTTTCTAAGTGTAGACATGTTCTTGAATCATGAGCATCATCCTATCATGATAATTGTTGAAAACTGAGACAATTACACGGTTGTGCTTTTAGATTTTGGCTCCCCTCTATTGGACTTATCCCTACATTACGCTTTCTTTCCTTGGTGTGCAAAATTAGTGTCAGAGACATTCAGCGGTCAGAGAAGAAACTATCAACAGGGGCAGGCTGGTATCAGGCCAAGGAGCAATTCAGCTTCCGGGGTGCATGTCAAGTTTCTAATCCCTTTTCAAGACTTTGCTGAAGGGCAAGGGGCCCACCTTAGAGAGGCCTGGGCTGCTGCTGTGCATTAGGCATGCTAAGAGGAGTCATAACTTCTGGTTGTCAGCATTTTCCGTGACTTTGTGGTGAAGGTAGTCTAGCTTTCATGTCATACTTGAAATATGTTAGATCTCATCTTCAATGTAGAAACCATGGTTGTTTGCTTGCACTCTTTAAGAAGGCTGTGGTCGGTGTTGCAATATTCGTGTGAGACTTAGTAAATTCTTATGTTTTATTCTCAAGAGAAACAATTTACTCTGAGGCCAAGGGATATTTGCTTTTCCTAAGCAGTTTCTGAAAGCACGCATGAGAAAACAGTAAGGGGATGTGTTCTGCTCTGGCATCGCCACAGTAAGTGTAGAGCAGTTTGCTTAGCTCTGGGCTCTTTGATAGAATCATCGTCTGTCCTTAACAACAAAAAAGTTTGGCCAAATTAAAAGGACCAGACGAGGAAATGTAATGGAAGAGAATCAGGGACTAGTTTAAAGTGGGATGAAATATATTGGTATAAAACAAAACATGATTAGAAATTATCTTTTTATTTTAAGTAGAATGCCATTTGGGAGTTATGTGATACGAACTGAACATTTCAGAAAGCACAGAATCCTCTACCTGCTGTCTGTTGGAGAAAATTGTCCCCTCAATTAAATGTCAATGATTTTCTTGTCCAAATTTCAAGTTTTTGATGCAGTGTTTTGTGAACCAAAACAGAATTTTTGTGACGAACATTTTGACCGGGCAGGGCAGTAGTCTGGACGTTACAGACAGTGGTGGGTTCTTAGTCTAGCTCTGAGCTTTTTCTTAATGGGAAGGGGAGCTTTGGGGTCAAATGAGGTGCCTCCTCAGAGCGGCTGCGTCTGTCTGCATTGCAGTGCTGTCATCACAGATGCCCTGGTCTCTCCTTGGTTCTTCTGAACAGAGTCAATGCTTCCTATGTTCCCAAACCACACAGGGAAAACATGCTGAAATGCAGTGTACATATTTTAATTTCAAGCCCTTTGACAGAGACAGGCAGGGCCTTACAACACCACCACAACCACACACACACACACACACACACACACACACACACACACACACACACACACACACACGGAGAAAGGCTGTGAGGACAGAGTTAGTTAAAGAAACCTCCAGGCCGCTGACATGTTTGTGATAAACGTCAGGCAGGCTGTCACTTCTGACTCTGCACCAATGTCTACTGTGTCCACATGTGGCCCAGTGATGGAGGAATCATGGCAACCATTCCTGTGTGCTCATCACTGCATCCTGCTGTGGAATAGGAAGCTAACCAGCTCCGCTGACTACAAAATGACATATTTCCTCTCCTGTGTTTGTGTCCATACAAATCTGTGTCTGTATAGAAAGTGAACATGACAAAACAGGAAACATGATGGTGTGCCCTCCTGGGGTGATCCATGTGTGACACATGAGTCTGAAGGAGAAATGGAAGGAAGTGACTGTCTTGTGGGCTAGTTTCCTGTGTCAGTGCCTGTGAGCAACAGAAGGGGAGAGCAGGACATATACCTCACTGAGCGTTGGGAACCTGAATAGAGACCCAGCTCTGCCAGTGGATGAGGTCATTCTGTCTTCCCAGGCCTCCATTGTCTGTTGTGAAGAGTGAGACTACTGGAAATGCTAACCTGCCCAGTCTCTCTAGTCCTAAACCCAATAGCTCAGTAGAAAACCCACAGCCTGCCTCAACTGGTTGAATAATTCTCTGAATATCCTCACATTACAATGTAAATTCTATGTTGAATGAAATAAAGGTATATGACACAGAGCACTCTCTTAGTTTTATCAGTATTTTGACAACTGTAGGCATTGGTATTATGTCTGGGGTGAGAGTAGACTTTGCTACTTTCTTTACTGGTTTTGCTTCAAAATATGTGTGTTTGGAATTATCAGAAAGTCCCTTCAGAGATTACTGCCATTATTGCCTTTCTCCACTTACACACCTCTAGTCTTTTAATAACTAGGGGCCAAATTCCCTGGCCAGTAGTTTTAATTTGCATTAAAAACAGATTTGTTATTTACAGAAGCACATAGAATTTATGAGATTTGGAGCAGCAGCTCCAGCTTGGATCTCACCTAATCATAGCCATGGAATCAATTAACAGTTCATCTGTGAAATGTGATAAAATCTTATGAGATACATATTGCCCAATAACCAAGAAGGAGATGAAAGTATGCTCCATACTAGTCACAGGGCTTCAGGGTTTTACAATCGTCACTGAATAGAGTCCCATTAGAAACTCAGTATTCAGGATGGCCACAAAAAACACCATGCCTGAGCAGATGATAGAGCATTGAGTAATAACCCTGGCTGGCCATTCCTGCTTTGATTAGTTTCCAACACCCTTGAAAGGGGCCTGTTTAAGAGTTCTTGCTCTTGGCAAATGAGCCTGTGAAGCCTGAGGTGGGTGAGGGCAAGTGCGGAAAGAAGGAGTTCAGAGCTATAAATCGCTGCAAAGCTAGTGCCTCCATGAAGGGCTGCTTGGGAGGCCCCGTCCAGCTAGTGGGCAGTGTGCCTTCATGGGGCCAGTCACAGCGTTAGCGAAGAGCCTAATGTTAGAACAACCTGAGCTCCTTCCTACCTTGACTGTAGAGTGCTTCTTCATCTAGCCCTTGCTAGGCTCACTATTATGTCTGTTTCCGTAGGTTGGTGGCTTATATTCTTGTATCATGGTCAATGGAGCACTTTTGAAGGTCATATAGTGTAAATGTCTTATTCTACCCTTGAGAAAATGAAAGTGAACTGCCAAAGTGATGGAGCAAAGAACCAGAGCATGCCAGAGTATAGAGAGGACAGAAGCTTCCCAATTTTCCATGGTACCCATTGGCCATCCAACTGACTATTATTGGAGCAGTCTATAGGTCATAGTCTGACATTAATGTAGTCATTAAATACAGAGTGAAGATCAGAAAATTGACATGAACTTAAGATGAGGAACAAACTTAAGCTTAAAGTTATGTAACCCTTGGAGTTGTGCTGTTCTTCAGTTCACACATAGGAGATGTATATAGTAGTTTTCCCAGTCATAGTGACTCTATTGGCAGATCTATACAGGCTTCCTGCGGTTTGGAGCACTCTCCAGTAACTGTGAGTCCTGACTCCTTTATTACGGAATAGTCATGAGGGAAGCTTCCCACAGTATCCCTTCTCATCGCTCTAATAGGTTTTGGTGTTGACAGTTACTTATCCCTTCCATGTTTCCCCCTACCTTCTACAGTTTTGAAACAACAGTGGGATATTTTGGAATGAAGCCAAAGACTGGAGAGAAGGAGATCACCCCCAGCTATGTGTTTATGGTGTGGTTTGAGTTCTGCAGTGACTTCAAGACAATTTGGAAACGGGAGAGTAAGAACATATCTAAAGAAAGGTAAGGTTGGATGAGGCATGACTGCCTCCTGAGCATTTCATCTTTCCAAGCCTTCCAAAGCATGCCTGTTTCACATGTGTCAGTGCTTTCTTTTGCATCAAGTCAACATCCAAGAAGGATTCTTGCCTCCCAGCTCCTGGAGAAATTCAGGGAAAGCTTGCTGTCCCCCCTGGGCAAGATATACTCACATGATCTGATAAGCTCCTTTCTCTTAACCCCTTCCAATTACTAGCTAGTAAATGAAAGGCGAGTTGTGCTAATTTGCAACAGATTGCTTCTCTGTGTATTTTCATGTTGGCCCAAGCTAAATGAGGTTGCTTTGCTGTGGCAGACAGTACAGACAAATAAAAGTGAATGCTTTCCCCATTAATATACTGCATTTGCATCAAAGGGAAATCTCCCCAGCTCAGGCCACACTTCACACAGTGTTGAAGCCCCACGCTGGATTTACAGCATCACTTCTGACTCCCTGTATCCTGCTGAGGACATCAAACTGTGTGCCGCTCGGCCTCCTTGCAGTCTCTTGATTTTATTACTTGGGAGTAAAAGAAAAAAAATCAGCTCTGAACATAGGCACTGTGTGTGTGTGTGTGTGTGTGTGTGAGAGAGAGAGAGAGAGAGACAGAGACAGAGACAGAGACAGAGACAGAGACAGAGACAGAGACAGAGACAGAGAGACTTTAACACTGTTTATCAGAAAGAAAGCATTTCTGCTTGACAGTGGCCTTCAGGCTGCTGTGGTTCCATGAAGGCTGTCAAGGGTTCAAACTTCACACAGATCTTGCCTCTAACTCTTGAGGAACAGGTATGAGGCTGTTATTCAAGATTGTAGGGAAAGAGGTAGAAGATTCTCCAGAGTGAGAGAGACTGTTCCGTTTTAGCTTCTAAACTGCAGTAAACATTGAGACCTGAAACTCCACAATTAGTATATTTGTTCTCTAATTTGCAAAAAAGTCACATCCAAGAGTATTTCTATATGAAAAAAAGTACATTAATATGTATTTTGCCTTACATCACTCTTTTTAAGTTGAAATTTTAGAGAATGTAACTTGGTATTATTAAATCTCTAGATATTTTCTCAAGGAATTTTTTAAAAAGACACCCCTCCATTTTTTTTCTAAAGGAAGTCAAAACTCCATTTTTATCTGGGGCCAGCTGTGAATGACCACACCTGTAATTACAGCACATGGAACTCTAGAGAAGGAAATGGTCATGAATTCAAGGGCAGTCTTGGATATAAAGTGTGTTCCAGGCAAGCCTGGGGTACAACATGAGACTGTGCCTTAAAACAGTCTGCACATCTTACCAGCATGACCTCTTCAGGAAGGAAGGAGATAAAACTGACTGTATTCAACAAAGGCAAAGAGTTCATACCTACAATCCCAAGTACAGGAACCCGAAGCCAAAGGATTGTGAGTTTGTATAAAAGCTGAGAACTCATGATTCAGATAAAGTGAAGTAGAGACAGACCTACAACATAGCAAGGAAGCATGGTTGACACATAACTGCAATTCATAGTGAGTGGAAAGGATTCTAGATGGTTCCAACATAAAGACACAATCATTTTCAGTGTTTCCCTGGACAGCTACTCCAACTAGATCATTATGCCATGTATGCATTGAGTATACAAAGAAGTCTTACAACAAATATGAACGATTGGGTATCAAGAATTTTAAAAATTATGAGTCATTGAGAAAGTAGCTTATTGATCATTTTATGGAAAAGAAACCCTGAAAAGTATGCCCAAATCTGCATTCTCACCCTAGGTAATATAAACTAAATTAGCTTTCATGGAATCAAGTCTTTTTGAGACTAGAAGGTAAAGTTCCTCTTCTTGATCTAATGGTGACTACTGGTTCATTGCTGAGTCTCATCAGGCTGCCAAACCCAGCAGGAAGTTCTGAACATGCAGACTTTACTTAGGAGTTTTCTACTCAGATTTCCAGTGTAGTTCTTAATGAATTGTCTCTGAAGCCTAAAAATGGTTCAAACACAAACAAAAACACAGAGGGTAACTAATTGCTTTTTGTTTTAACACATCTGTAGAAATCTTGAACTGTAGTATACCCTGCCCCCATACTCAGAAAAGTTAGACCAAACTCTCTGTGGTTCTGCTGTGGTGGTGTCTAGTCATCCTTCAGAATGACTTTTTCTCTGATTCCCAGCATGGGCATTGGCAGCATTGCTTCCTGGGTCCAGCTGGGGAATTGCTTGCTTCACACTCTGTAAACCAGCACCTCCCCAGGGTCATGACTTCCCAAGAGCCTTCCCTGATCATTTAGCAGTTTCCAGGGTCTCTTCATTGTAGCCCTGCTCTGAAGAGATGGATCACCAGCAAATTGTCAGCTTAAGACATCTCTGAATTTTAAGGATGGTTTGGGAAAGATTTTTGCAAGCAACATGCTTAGAAAACTCTCCTATTAAAGGCATTTTAGTATGTCCATTCAAGCAATTAAATTGATTATCCAGGATTTTCTTATGAAGGCTTTTTTAAAAAAAACTTTTTTTATAATAAGAAGTTTAGCTTTTAGGCTCTTAAATGTAATAGTCATTAGTATAAAATACGCTAATTAACTTAAGTTGGCTTGTTATAATAAAATTGGAAGTAATGTGATTGCTTTGTTAACACTTATTTAATGATATATGATAACTATATTGTTGATTACGGTTTTCCCAGAAATTGAATTAAATCTCTTTAACATGAAATGCCACAAGGCAATATAACATCACTCACAAGAATTACTCAAAGTCACAAAAAACAAAATCCATAGCCAAATGAAAGCTTGCTATGCTTGATATCATGTAACTATTGGGGGGAGATTGTGGTTTGGGAATCTCATCACAAGAAATTGAGATCACTTGATTTTTCAATGTGTCTTAAGGCCAACTGAAACCCAAGAAGTTACTGGAAAAGATTAATCAACAATAGTATTTTCAAAGAGAAAGACCCAAAGGTAAATGTTTAAGCCTGCTTCCAAATGAAATGAAAGTATTGGGACTGCATATTGGAATATGCATTAGGCTAATATAACGTTGGGACTCATGTGCCTCCATAGCAAGCTAGCAACTCCCCCCTTATGAAGCTACAGCACTCTTTAAATATTATATTAAGATGTCCAATGTTGCTATGCCATTAAACTAGTAAACTCCGTGGTTAAGGGTGGAGAGGGATAAGCCTCATTGACTACAATACTGCCACTGAGCAAAATGGTGCATGGCTTTAATCCCAGCACTCAGGAGGCAGAGGTAGGTGGATCTCGGTGAATTTGAGGCCAGCCTGGTCTACAGAGCTACTTCCAGGACAGCTAGGGCTGTTACACGAAGAAACCATGTCTCCAAAAAAAAAAAAAAAAAGAGGGAGGATTCTCTGGGGATATGGTTTAACCTATTAACTGTGTCATTAGAAATGCAATTTACTACATGTTAGTTACTATGGCTTTAATTTTTCTTCAACATTTAAGCCAGTATTAGGAAAACAAAACAAAACCTGTTTCCATGTATAAGCACAAATCCAGAAGGTTCCTTCTCTATCATTGTGTGGCCCCCAGTGGGGACACTTATCCCTCAGTGAAGCCTACTGATTCCTTCTCCTCTTTCTTCAGACTACAGCTAGTGCTCAGTTGTATGAAAGGGACCTGTAGACAGAGGGCAGATCTCACAATCACACCCCTTCACTTTGCTGTTAATTTGCTGTACACCATTAGGCCAGATACTTGCTGCATGGTGAACCAATAAACATGAGTATCAGGATGGAGCAGGAGCCAAGCGTTAATGCTCGTCTAACTTGAAGTCATTATGATTCTGGAAACAACTTTCTGGTTTCCTAAGACTGGTGCAATTTTGAGATAATAGTCTTCACTTTGGCTCCTGAGATTATTAAGGGTGATATTGGAAATTGTTTCAAACCAAGATCTGATATAGGACTGGGAGGAGACTGGATATAGAGGAGTTTTCATTGCCCTTTAGACTTTGGCAACTGTGTACAGTATCACTCTCCCAGTTTTGTTGTTGTTTACGAAAAACTGATGTTCATCTTGAAGGTCTCATGTTTGAATCGAGGATGTACGCACAAGTATTTGCTGTGCTCGTGTCTCTGCAGTGCTATGTTTGGAGGAATGCTGTAGTTCACCAAGACTGTATTTCATCCCCAGTGATGACTTAGCATTGGATTTACTTTTTCTTTACTTTAGTATCTGCATCTCTTAACATTCAAACACTTCCTGGGTTTCTGGTACATACCCTTTTCCATCCATTATATCCAAATATTATCTAATCACATGCATAACAACTGCAAGAAGGTTACCTAAAAATTTTACTGTTGCGTCTATAACCCGTTCTCCACTCATTTTCTGTATTTACTTTTTTGATTCTTTAATTGTTTGTCCCATGGATCCTTACTTCTGAAACATTTTATCAGTTAGGATATCTTCAGACATTCCCCACATGTGCCCACATGCAGAAAAACCACACAGTGAGCTATGAATTAGCAAAAGGTGAAGATGCCCCATGGGAACCATGACTCCAGGAATAAAGTCCCTGCAAATGCCCCCCCTGAGCCAAGGCAAACTTTACAAGTGCCATTTAAAAAAACCACAATGGGCCAGTGAGGAGAGAACAACAAGTTTTGTAAATTTTATGGGCAATGCAAATAAGAAATTTCATTATATGCATAGCTATAATTTACACCATGGGAGAACAGAGTTACTTATTTAGTTCCAGCTGAAACCAACAAGGTTTTGTTTTGTGTGCATTCCTTGAAGCTATTATGGTTAATTATGCAACTGCCACAGCCTTGACAACAGATCGATCCAGGGTAGGTCAGGTGATCTCAAAGGCAGTTTTCAGAGCTCCCTATTGGCTGTGTTGCTGTAGGACAAAGGACTTAACAAGGTCATTCCTCCACCCACTTAAGACCCATTGATTCTAATGCAATGCTGCAAAAATCCATATTTTTACATGGTGATTTATTTATTTATTTAATTTTGCTTCCTTACTGACTT